ATGGTATAATTGCCCATTTTTAACGGATTTTTATTCTAAAAAGGTCACCTAGAATTTTTGGGAGCCTTTTTTCTGGCTGAAATTTTCCCTGTTATTTTCGTATCACTAGACTTTCAGCTAGGAAATCTGAACAGATGAAAAATTTTTAGGGGATGAAAATATGCCGATACCTACGGTTTAAATACTAAAATACGTTTAACAATGTTATGTTTAAGTGGTTTTGAACCATATTCTCGTTGGGTGCTCCTGATTTATATCAGTTCCAAATAAGCGAGTTATGAAAATTTGGTGTAACAAAATCTACAAATAGCACTTTGAAACTGGGAAGACCTCAAAGAAAACAATAACCAGAAAATGAAGTCCATAGTATAGTGTTAAGGTTTAGGTCGGTAAGACATCCAGTGGATCGAGGAAAAACAGTTTAGTATTCTTACAAATAGCGAGCTGTGAATCTTTAATTAAGAGACAAATGGACTAAACGTTGTGTCAGCCGACAATCGTTGCAAGAAAAATGTTACACTAAAACGTTTCAGTGTAAATTAAGAAGCAGTAGACTCAGCAGTTTCTTCAAATTCCAAAAACGTTCCTTACAGCAATAAAGACTTGTTGTTATTTATAAAATGAATAAATAATAATGATGATGATGATGTGTTTCCGATTACTCTTTGGTCAAGACAATGTCCAATTGAGATAACAGTTCATCAAGTAAAATAACGGCTTAGTTTTCATAACTACAGCAATATTTTTTCCTTACCAAAACGTGACGGCGCATTTCTTACCGTTACCAAGGTAAAGGAAATATTTCGGCGCTGTTTTAGACATCAACAGGGAAGTAATCCAAACGGTTGTATGTTGAGCACTAGCTAGGTATTAGTATTTTATCCCTGAGGGTATGCGGAGGTCGTGAGGGGGGGGGGCATGGTACTTGGTATCCGGACTTATTTCCCTGTACCTTGTTCTAGACGGGAAGAGAAAGAAAACCCGTACCCAATCCTAAGTATACGCGAATAAAGAAATGTCCCCCTTGCCGCGCCCGCGAAGGACCTGGCGAGTAGGTATAAGGAAGTAAGAGGCAGCGCAGTTAGGATGGGCGGGCGATAGCAAAGTTGAGTGGTATGGAGCCTGAACACGTAGCCTGCATCGCATACATTATTTAACAACAGAGTTTAGTTTCGACTGCGGGGCAGGCTATGAAGACGCTGTAATAGATATAACTTTATGTTAACGACTCAAGGTAAAAAGTGAATTTAACTGCCTTTGTTCTTGCCCGTCTGGATTCTAAATGTTGTCGTGTCCCACAAAACGCACCGCGCATGAACCACGCCTGTTACTGGACTAGATAGATTTGTTTGCAGAAAATCGCTATCATTTTACTAAGCTTGATTGATGCCATTTCAACAAAAAATCGCTGTCATTTTACAAGGCTTTATTGATGCCATTTCATTCTTATAACAACAGCGTCAGTTTTACTATTTTTAAATTAACATTAAGTACTACGCTGCACAGGTTTTTCAATCTTTATTAACTTTGTTTTCTTGTTTTCACAGTTACACGTGGCCTTACAAGCTGTGGTACGTACAGCTGCCCTCGGCCCAGTGACCCCGCAGGTCGCACACGATGTTGTTCTTGGTTCGGTAGTCGCTCTTGCTGTCTACCTGGAGGTTCCACGTGTAGTGACAGCGGAAGAGCGTTGCGTAATTATTGTCCCTCACCAACAGATGACAAAAATGACCGTCTTTGCTGTATCATAAACAACCAGCCAAAATGCTGCAAGCTACTTATAAGGTAAAAATTCGCTTTATGAGAACATTTTAAATAAAATGAATTGATAAGAGTAACTTACCTAAGAATTCACCGAGCGTAGTGCGATTAAAGATAAAAATTAATTGTCACATTAAAGATGTTGAGACCTCGGTAAGACGAAGCTTTGTGTTTTATTTATTTTATTCCGTCGACGTCCACCCTGAGGTCAGGGCCACATTTTAAATTCCTAAAATAATCCTCTGAAGAAATTTTTAAAATTTCTTGCTCGAAACTTTTCTTTTAATTCAACGTGTCAAGCTAAAGCAGCCTTAAATCGTAGCCTTAAGCAAAAAAAGGGTGTTTGAAACTTTTTTGAAAAAAATTTATAGAGAAGAACAGTTAACGTTTTAAAAGTGGTTTTTCTTGTGACAAGAGAAGATAATGGATTCATTCTTTGTGGTCAGCGGATTCCGGGGCCACCGTATGCTCTCAGATTTTCATTGGCCTTTGAAAACGCACCAGTGAATTGTTTTTCAGTTGGAATAAGGAGATAAGATTGTTTGGATTATTCAGAGACGGATTGTTTTACAGTTTAGCACCATGACATCCGTTACCCTTTCCTCTGACTCCTTCTGTGATCACAAATTTCACAACCTCGTCCCCAGGGCGCTTTCCCCTGGCTTTGAAGGTGCGGCGGGAACCCGCCCCACCTCCAAAGCCAGGAAAAAGCGCCCTGGGGACGAGGTTGCAAATTTCATTAACTTTTTTCCTGGTATTACTCGATTCTTGCTGACAATGATCACGATTCTTAATTTAATTTTTTTTCCAGTGTTGGGGCCTTGTTAGGAATCATATCCGGAGGAGTTGTGCTACTTGTTGTGATACTCTTGGTGTGTTTATGTTGGTCTAAGTGTCCACTTGCTAAGTGCAGGGCTAGAAGAAGAAATGGGCAAATGGCTGTTGTGCATTACCCCAGAGTTGGAATAGTGCAAACTACTCTTCCACCCTACCCTGGAGCTGGTATGCAAACCCCTACACACCCCTACCCTGGAGCTGGGATACAAACCGCTTCACAACCCTACCCTGCAGGAGCTGGTATACAAACCACCATTCAACCCTATCCTGGAGCTGGGCCACAAGCAATTTCTCCACCATATCCTGGAACAGGACAAACGCAAAACGCTGGTCCACTATATCCTGGAACAGGGGTACAAGCCCAAGATGGGCATCAAGTATACGGCAAAAACTGAAGATTAAAAATCATTGTAATTGTGCAACAAGTGATACAAGTAAAGCACAATACAAATTGGAGTGGAACACAATTACCCCTACTCAATGTCCTCTTTGGCCTCTAGTGGAGTAAACATTTTTCGTAGTTGTTTGTTTCGTTTTCAAGAAAAGTAAAGTCAATTGGTAACTGATTTATGTTCACTGATTCACTTGGCCTGAGCCGCATCACTCTTCTGATGGGACTCAACGTGGAGGAGGTGCTATCACAGCTTCTGTATTGATATTAACGCCATATGTTGTTTAGATTTGGTAGCAACAACAACATCAACATAAGCTTTATTT